ACACATATATATATATATATATATATATATATATATGTGTGTGTGTGTGTTGCAGAAAAGCAACATATTTTTAGTTATGAGGTATGAAATTTCTTAAAACAATTGTTTCGTTTGTTATAACAAAGGGTAACCCGACATTTATTACAATTCGATTGCGTATATCTGCATCTCAAATTACTATGCTGTAAAAATGCAACGCAGTTCCGTAAAGGGTTAAATAGTGTTTCTATAGTATTACGATATAATGACATTTATTCAGTGCATTAATGAACATTGACAAAAATAAAATAGCATTTTGTAAGATATTTTAGAACATGCTTTTAAAGATTTTCGAAAAGGTGTTCTTTGAGGAGAATCCTTTGATCTATATACGATTACGATGTTGATTAGAATAATTTTTTTCTCCATCTTTTATTTTGTTTCCGTATGTTAATGAGAAAACGAATTAAACTGTTCGCGTCGATGGTTTAAGTAAATAAATAAAACAACAACTAATTGCCATGTAATCCCCTGAAAATTACACATGAGCAGTCTATGCAGAGTAAAGAGAGAAAGAGAGAGATTTTAAAACCCGCATTTTTGTGTGTCTTTTTTTTTGTTCTTTTTTTCGCCCTATAATTAACTCGGCAGATATTCAGTCTCGATCTTCTTTTTCTTTACTTTTACGATTCGGTTTTCTTTCATTGGTGTGAAAAAGAGAGAGAAAAAAAGACGCAAACGCGAAATTTAAATTTGCAAATGACAAATATTTATGCAGTTCAACGAAAAGAGTATATATAGATATAATTTATTAAAGCAAAAAAAAAGGAAAACAAAAGAGAAGGGAGTAGTAAAATTTGTCTGTGTACGTTTATTACAAATAGTACATCTCTTCATTCAAGAAAGAAGAATTATATCTTTCTGTTTATACTGTAATATCAAATAGAAAAATATTCGTAGATAAGGATATAAGACTTATGATCTTTTCTTTATATATATACTAGGGCTGCCCCGCCACGCGTTGCTGTGGCTCACAATCAGTCCGATACACACGTCTTTAAGTCAACGAATTACCTTATACCGCCATCTGTTAGAATCTTATCGAACTAACAGAGATAATCATGACTCTTTGTACATAAACAAACAATTGGCAATAAAATAATATTGCTATTATAAATTGAGATATAAGCTATCCTATCTTTCAAGTTGGATGAAACTGCACACAATGTGCAGAATTTTATTAAAATCGGTTCAGTAGTTTAGGAGTCCATTGTGGACAAACAACGTGACACATAATTTATATATATTTGTACTTTTAACGAACGTTCTCTCAACGATACTCGAATATATCCATTCAAGAATATTTGCTCCTTAAAAAATAAATTTTTTTGTTACTAACACGAGGATCACTATTTGCCCCACAAGTTCGTTGTCATGAAGTTTTTCAATCGTAACTTATAGCGAAAAGGAGCATGGACAAATAAAAAAGAAAAAAAGAGCAAAATATAGAAGAAGAAGAAGAAGAAGAAGAAGAAGAAGAAGAAGAAGGATTAAAAAGAGTGACATTTTCAGGAAAGAATGTGCGTATAGTAACAGTAGCTCAGTGATGTAGTCTAAAAAAAAGAAGTAAATTTGACGAGGAAAAAAAAAGGCAATTTTAATATTTTCTTTCTAAAGTAGATCCGTTCTACTTCGCGAGATAGGTTGGCTCGTCTATTACGTTCGTATCAAGGTTCACCAGCAGGTCAACTCAAGTAGCTGTTTTATCGTTCATGTTTTTCATTCTAAAGGTCTAGAAAGAGAGAGAGAGAGAGAAAGAGAGAAGGTTACGGTTTTGCTTAAAATGGTCTCACAATTACTACATCATTGCATCAAAGAGAAGCAACAGACTGTCATCCGTTTCTTCTTGCGGTTGGTAGGAAGCTTATGTTCGTTCAAAGACAAAAATTTACAAAAGAATGTTAAAGCAGTATAATAACAACTACTTACCCTGGAAATAAAGCTTGGTAGTAAAAGGAGAAAAAATGGGGGATCTGCTTCTTCTTTCCCTTTATTCTTTCTTGTATTTTCCTTTATCCTTTTTCTTTCTCTCTCTTTCTTCTTTCTTTATTTCGTTGCTTTATTTAAAATTAAAAAAGAACACTAACATAGAGAAACAAAAGGTAAGTAAAAAACAAACAGTTTTATCTAACCAACGTGGGCCAACGTGGAAACTCAACCAAAGTTGAGTTTCGAGATAGCGAAAAATAAAAGTAACGTTGAGCGAATCGATGAGAAAAAGATGATTTAAAAAAGGAAGAAGATGAAAGAGGAGGTGGTAAGGGTGAAGGGTGGATGAGGTACCAACGAGGGATGAGTAAAGAAAGTGAAAAAAAAAAGAAATAAAACTAACCATAAGATAAAAAGTGAAAGAAAAAAAATAAGTCATAGAGAGAAAAATGAAAAAAGAAATAACTGATGGAAAAAGAGTTGCAATAAAAAATCGAATGAAAGGAGTCGCCTTTAATTACAAAAAGGGAACGAGCTAATAGCTTTGAACCGAAAAGCTGATCGATAAATTTGTAACATGAAAATTTTCTTCGATGCTCGTTCAAAGAACTTGCTTTCGATTAGATTAAAATTATTCATAATGAACTAATTTGGTGAATGATTCTTTTTTTTTTTCAATGATTTTACGAATACAAAATTTATATTCGTCT